ACACTCACAGTAACACCATCATCACACAGCCAGTAACCACCACACAGCACGCAACACACAGCTCACCAGTAAGCATGTGTGTGTGTGTGTTATATAAGTGGAGGTTACATTCGTTCACACGAACCATTTGTTTTAAAACCTGCAGCTTAACTCAGATTACTGTAGCTGATTGATTAAAGACTGTATTCACATATAAATACAAATAATCAATACAAACATTGTTTTCCACATTAAATTAAAAGGACAGTTATATATTCATATATAATATATTTTTTATATATATATATATATATATCAGTCAATAGTTCCACATCCTCTGAAGCAATGGTTCCAACCTTTGTCCTTTCTATTATTTATTAAACTGACTCACGGACATATTTTATATTTCAAACTGAACAATGAACCCAAACAGTGAACAGTATTTCTTTGTGGACATGATATGGAAGATGTTAGGATGTGACTCAGAGTCTGTAATATTTCTATAATCCATGGTCAGTTAATGTTAATGTTAAACTAACCTTCATATACAAAACCAATAAAAACCCAAATACAACAAATAACAACAAAGTTCGAAGGTTTGTGCGACTGTGCAGTAGGTCGATAACAGAACTCCTTTCAGACCTTCAGATGATAGAAAATTATGATTTTCATTGATGATATTAACAATATTTATAGATATTATGTATACAGTAACTGAGTACAAGTACTCAACAAGAAGAACAACAACCAATCAGAGCCGACAAAGATAGTTGTCTTATTCCCAGTTGATCACATTGAACATTTTAAGTAAAACTAACTCACTTGTGTACGTTAAAAAGCATTGATCAAGTAGTTTTAGTGACACTGACTTAATTTGTCAATTTTTATTTGTAGTGTGAAAAATAAAACAGTCAGGTAAAAAGTTAGTGACACCTTAAAACAGTGAATAAAAGCTGCTTCATGGAGAATCTTTTTCTTTGTGTTACTTACAGTGCTCAATGTAATCAGGTTAACAATTAAAGTTGAGTTCAAATAACTTTTAGTGGTTTCCTGTTAAACCAGGTAGAGAAACTATAAATAAATATTCAACTGATCAGCTGATCGTCTGTTATCAGAGAATAATGAGAGCGACATTAAAGCTGCTGTTTCTGTTCCACTGTAAGAACGAATGACAACTGTTACAGCTGAGATTTTATTAGATAGATAGATAGATAGACTAGATTAGAAGATAAGAATAGATAATAAATATAGATACGATAGAAGAAGATATACCTTTATTGACCCAAGCTGGGAAATTACAGTTACAATTACATACAATACTTAAAATGACATAAATAACCTGGAGACGGGTTTTTCTTTGTAGTCCAGATGAAGATCTACAGATGTTCAACTGGTTTTGTGACTTCATGTTTACATATTTGTGGTTAAAAATGTTCTTATGAAGAACTACAGTAGCTGTAGTCAGCTCAATATTACTACATATAGATGATATATGTGTACATACAGATTATATATGTGTACATACAGATTATCTAAGTGTACATACAGTATACAGATTATATGTGTACATAGAGATTATATAAATGTACATACAGTATACAGATTATATATGTGTACATACAGATTATATATGTGTACATACAGATTATATATGTGTACACAGATTATATATGTGTACATACAGATTATATATGTGTACATACAGATTATATATGTGTACATACAGATTATATAACTGAACATACAGTATACAGATTATATAAGTGTACACACAGTATACAGATTAAAGGAACCTGAGTGGAAGCTTATAAATGATTTACTGACAGTTTAATATATGAATAAACTGTTACTGACACTATAATAATCTGCACTCGCTCTATAAACTCTCTAAGGTCCAGATGAAGTCTTATCCAGTAAAACAATCAGAGCACTGGTTCCACCTGTGGTGGGCGGAGCCTGCAGGTGATACCACAGAGTACAAGTATACATACAAAGTACACTGTAAAAAAAATAACGTTATTTTTTAGTTTTAAGTCAAACTCGGAAGTTTTGAAATAAAGTAATAATTATGAAATTTACTTTTCTTCTTTAGAAATCTTTAAGTCTTACAAACAAAAATTGTTTGTAGCAACCAAACTGACCTACAAAACTCTCCTGCTGTGTGTAAAACAAACACTCCACAGTAATAAGTGTCGGGGTGTTTTTATGACCTTTGACATGTTGTGTTTTCAGGATGTGGACTGGGATACCACAAACCACCTGACATCATTAAGGGTCTGTCTGTCTGTCTGTCTGTCTGTATATATCAGGGTTGAGTGAGTACTCGTCAGAAACAAGTATCCAGTACAGATAATGTTGCTTTCTGTCGATATCTGTACTCATCCCGACTATGTACAGTATTTGTATGCATGTATGTGTATTTATAGATGTATGTAGATGTGGTATAGATATATAATCTCTCCAGCATCATGGGTCTACACCTTCAGTTGGATGTGCAGAAAACCTCCAAAGGATCCTGATCAGCTGTTGAACCACCTCAGCTGGCTCTCATCTGATCTCCTTCCCCTCTCTCTAAGGCTGAGCCTCCTTGTAACCTCCTTTCTGTCACTACCCAGAGGCCACAGACGAGAGCTGGATCGTGGATCAGCTGGTAAAGAGAAAGCCTTACCTTCTGACTCAGCTCCCTCTGAACCACAAAGGTCCCACACAATGCCCACATCACCAATCCGGCTGTTTGTCCCAGGCTCTATTTTACCATCGCTGGTGAACAAGACCCCAACATACTTGAACTGGCAGGAACTCCCAAAAAGGAGGGAGCAGTCCACCGTTTTCTGCCTTCAGACTTGGAGGTGCTGACTCTCATCTTGACTGCTTCACACTCCACTGCAAACCTCCCCAGTGCGTACTGGAGGTCACAGACTGATGAAACCAACAGAACCACATCATCTGCAAAGAGTAGAGAAGCAATTCTGTGGTCCTCAATAAGACCCTCTCCTTAACACTGCTGCACCTTGAGCCCTTGTCCTTGAAAATCACAAAAAGAATTTGTGGCCAGAGACAATCCTGGTGGAGCCCAACACCCTCATGGCACCTGGTGGGTGAGAGGTTCGGGCACGAATGTTTGGACCCATGAAGACTCCTCTCATGGGACAACCCTGCAAGGATGAAGATAAAGGTCCACTGTTTCACAACCAGGACAGAATCTGTATTGATCATCATGGATTTGAGATGATAGCACTCTGGAATAAACACAGTAAGGCTGAACAGTGTGGTTCCCCTGACCGTCCATTACCCCACCCTCCTGGTCTGCCATCCTGCAGGTGCTGTCCCTGACCTCCATGCAAGGAGGAATCAGTCGGATTTGCCAAAACTTCCTTAAGCTCAACCAAAAGTCCTCTTCCATAGCCTCTCCGAACTCCTCCCACACCCAGGTTTTTGCTGCAACCCCTCTAGCTTCCTACTTTGATGATCCTCTGACTTTGCTTCTAGCGCCATCATCAGGTCGACATTTGAATGTGTCCAGTACTTTTGTTAATGACCAGATACCTGCAGAACTACAGACATTCCCATCAGCCTCTGCTGCACTTTGTGTTTACTGCTGACTAGCTAATGTTAGCATGCTAACAGATGGTGAACATGGTAAACCTGCTAAACATCAGCATGTTAGCACTGTCACTGTGAGCATGTTAGCATACTGATGTTAGCATGTAGTGCAGAGCACCACTGTGTGTAGAACATGCTTCACGCTTCATGTTGTGTTGTTGCTGCAGAGATATTTGTTTTCATGATGGAGTGTAAACAACTTCATTAAAGGTGTGTGTAATTGGGATATCTGATGATAGAAATCATTAATAAAACACTCCCGGGGTGTATAAAACAAACACCCCGCTGTGTATAAAACAAACACCCCGCTGTGTATAAAACACTCCTGTGTATGAAACAAACACTCTCGTGTATAAGACTCTCCTGTAGGAGCTCTGTTTCCCAGAATGCATCAGTCTGATAAACAACAGGAACAGTATGTGTGGGTTTAAATTGTTGGAAGGAACTCATCCAGCAGCTCGTTCAGCAGTGAACTGGGAGACACCCTGTAACGCTCCAGGATTAAACACTGTGACCTCTGACCTCTGTGGCGTCTCCTGCAGTAATAACAGCATCAGTGTGGTCTCATGACATTTCCAATGTTCTGTTTTCTCAGCCTCAGCCAACTGTTCAGGATGTGGACCAGGATACCGCAGTCCACTGGATGCTATGAAGGGTGAGTATGTATATATATTTATATACGTAGAGAGAGAGAGAGCTATCATCATGCGTGTCCTCGCCACAGGTGTAGTCACAGTGGTTCCACTTCCACTCCAATGTGTACGATTAGTGGCATCTGGCTGTGTAGTTTCAGACTCACTTGCTCCCTCCCCCTTTCCAAGCACGAGGGAGAAACTATGGTGGCTGCAAAACTTACAAAAAACACAAAGGCCCCGTCTAAATCCAGTGTTTGGTTTGTCCGTTCTGGGCTACTGTAGAAACATGCTCCGCCAGAAGAGATCGCCCTTCCTGTAGATAAAAACCTCTCATTCAAGGTAACAAAAACACAACAATTCCTATATTCAGGTGATGATACACTAATGAAAACATACCTATGGATATTATATTTCATTTGTGACAATAGATCCTCCTCAGTGTTACACATTGGACATGGTGGAAATGTGGGCTGGCTACTAGATAGTACTATCTACTACTATGGGCTGGCTACTAGATAGTACTATCTACTACTATCTTGGTAGTATCTAGCGATCAGGGAACCAGGGGAGACTCTTTGAAATGACTGCTCTTGGCAACAATAGCAATAATTTTAGTTGTTTTTCTCGTTGAAGGTCGTCGGGAGGAGATCGTTTACCTGCCCTGCATCTACCGCAACACTGACATCCTTAAACCCGACTACCTCGCCACTGTTGACATCGACCCCAAATCCTCCACCTACTGCCAGGTAGAACGAGTCATCCAATCCCCTGCTGGCTCCTACAGACAAACTTTCTATTTTGCTCCGACTTATTGTCTTGCATCGTTACATCTAAATGAGTCAGTGATCAGTGAAGCTTGTTGATGCCTAGCGTCGGTTCATTTCTTGTCTTTGTTCTCTCGTCAGCTCTCTCCTCCTGCTGGATTCTCTGATGTCTCGCTTTCATTTCCTCTTCTGCTTCTTCTTCCTTCAGGTTTTTGTTTTTTCTCAGTATCTTACCTGCAGGATCTGTTTTACTGTCTTTCTTGTAATGTCTAAATAAATAAAATGCATATATTCCTCTCATTGGACCTGTTGTAAGCTCTGACCTTTGCCGTTGCAGGTCATCCACCGGCTGCCGATGCCGAACCTTCGTGACGAGCTGCATCACTCTGGCTGGAACGCCTGCAGCAGCTGCTTTGGCGACGCCTCCAAGAAGAGAAACCGTCTGATTCTACCGGCGCTCATCTCCTCTAGAATCTATGTGGTTGATGTCGGGACAAACCCCAGAGCTCCTCAGATCCACAAGGTACCAACAGCACGCCACTGCTCATTGACACTGCTCTGCCAAGGAAACAGGGTGGCCTGGCTCCTGTAAGGTGTCTGATTACTTTTTGAAGAAAGAAACTTACTGATTTACTTACTAATTTAATCCCAAACCAACCCAGGTTTCTACAAAATATAGCCTTTAGTTAGTGGAGCACACAAGTTCATTTTCTTTCTGATATGAAAACATTCACCTAACAACTAATTTGAAGGTCGCCGCATGTTTCTCTGATGGATTTTCTCTCACTGGAAGCAGTTTTATTCAGCCTAAACAAGAGTGACTGAAGGAAAGCTCCAACTCCACTTCCTGTGTTTGTACAGCAGAGAGAGAAATCTTGGCTGCTGGCTTTAACCAAAGCTGGATGAAAGCTGGTAAAAGCATATCAAATGCCCAGGGCCCCTTGCAGATCAGGGGCCCAGAAAGCTCCAGGTTGAAAATGTCTTTGGTAATATTAACTATTCATCCTAAAGTCCTGCGTAAAGAGTGCTTGCATGGGTTTTTTATTTCTTCAGGTCTTCTGTGGGAGAGAGCAGAGAACTAGTGAAAAAACAAGGTCTGCTGTTCTGGGGAGGAGGAGGAGGAGGAAGGTTCATCCTGAGTTCAGACAGGATGACAAACACACTGACTAACAGCTGTTCCTTAAAAAGCTTAAAATGTTTGAAAGACATCTGACTTATTGGAGATGTGGGAAATGAAAAATGTTGGCTTCAGTAAGTCTGATAAATAATCCGAATGCAAACATGTCTGGCAGTCTGCTGAGTCACTGTGTAATCATTAAACGGTCAGTGCTCCTCAGAGACTTTAATAAATCACCAAAGACGAGAGGTGATACTGGAGGGATGCTGGTTGTGTCCTGTAGTGCAAACTGGGATAGTTTTCCCAGTGTGAAGCAGCAGAATGTGAGTGAGCACCTCCCAGTCTCAGTTCATGGTACTCTGCTGGAAAATGGTGGGGAGTAAGTCACTGCCCCAAGTGAAGGAGTTAAAGTATCCCAGGGTTCATCATTACGGGTAAGATGAAGAAAGAGATGGGGAAAGAGTGGTATCGATGTTTTGGACTATCATTGCACAGAGGAAGCTGATCCCGAAGGAGAAGCTCTGGATCATCTCTGTTCCAGTCCTCAGCTGAGGATCTGGTTTCTGGGAATTGGCCGAAAGAAGAAGATGGTGGATCCAAGCAGCTGAAGTTAGTTTCCATGGTCGGGTGTTTTTGGGAAGAGGAGGTTGACAATGGGATTCTCAGTGGAGTGCTAAACCCCAAAATCCAGTGAACATATTTAAAAACCTCAGGGAGGGTAGCAGCTCTCAGTTTTCAAGTCAATGAGGACAAAACCTCACATTTGACTCACATTTGACTCACATCACAAAAGAAAACAACTTAACTTTTATAGTAGTATACAGGTCCAATTCAGCAATATAGAGAAGGACAAACTATCTGGACCCGTATTTACTGGAAAGACCTAAGGCTTCTAGGTTCTGATACCACCAAGACTCCAGGCACCATCACAGGTTTCTGTAGTCACTAAAGCAAGGATCAAGGTCCCAATCATTGTCTGAAACGCCACCTCTGGTGAGCATGCATCAAAGCATTAAAATAGACCCCAAATTTCTGTTTTTGGACCTAAGTATTTCTAGAAATAAAATCAGTGCTGGTGAGGTACTCCTCAGCATAACTGCATCTCTGTGTAAGCACAGCTAGTTTAAACCTAACAAGCACTGAAAATGTCCTTGTTAAAATTATAAAAACGGGCAAAAGAATTAGGGTTTAGCTGAATCAGGGTAGTGGCACCTTTTTTCGTCCAATTCAGGAACTGGTGCCGGTCCCAGTCACTCCAACTCCAGCCAGTACCACACAGTTCTCAATTCTCAGTTCTCAGTTCTACTCCAATAAGACTCCAGGCAAGGTATGCAACAGAAGATGGATGGATGGATGTTTTTATTTATAGAACTACATTTTGAAAATGTCATATAAGATTTACTGAGTCGTGGTTATGTTTGGTTGTTGTGTCTTCAGATAGTGGAGCCTATCAATCTGTACTGGAAGTGTGGTCTGGCAAACCCTCACACCACCCACTGTCTGGGCAGCGGTCAGATCATGATCAGCTGTATGGGAGACCCGTGCGGCAACGGCAAAGGTGGGACAACCAGGGGACTGTTTCAAATTAGAAAAACCCAAAAGTAAAGGAATATCATCGAAATATGTAAAATCCTCTTCTTGTCCAGACTTAAACCAGCCCCTCTGCTGATTGTTGTTGTAGCGCCCTCTAGCGGACAGTTTCAATGTTACTACTGCTGTCATCCTCCCAGGTGGTTTTGTCCTGCTGGATGGTGAGACGTTCGAGGTAGTCGGTAACTGGGAGCACCCGGGTGAAGCGGTGCCCTTTGGATATGACTTCTGGTACCAACCTCGGCACAATGTGATGATTAGCAGTGAATGGGGTGCACCTAAATCTCTGGTTGATGGTTTTAATCCAGCCCACGTCAAAGAAGGTGAGTCAGGAGGAAATATTTCAATCTTTCTTTCCTCTATTTTATCGTTCTGATGTCAAAGAAATGTAATCTGCGTTAACTAACTGAGTTAATCCAAACCCTCTGGGATCCCAGTAAGACTTAAGTCAGTACCACAGAGTTCTTGTTTCCAGTAAATCTCTAGTCAGTAACACGGGCCTGATCCCAGTAAGTTGCTCCCTGCAACTGGGTTCTAGGTTCCTATCCCAGAAAGTTTTCAGTCAGAAATGTAGCCCTAAGCTCCCTTTGATATGATCCCAGTAAGACTTCAGTCAG